CTCTGTAGCTTTCAGCAAATCCTCAAGTCTACTACGCTCATCAGCAATGGTATCTTGTTGGCAAAGGCCATGCCAGCAAGAGGTAAATTCCTTGCTTAAAAAGCTCTACTATTTGACAATTCAGATCTGGAGCTACCACACAGCCTGWAGATCAAATGAATTATTTGCACTCAAGTCACTTCTTTGTGGTACCATTAAATGCACAAGCAATTTTCAAAATGACCAAAAAGGCAGGTGCACATCGTGACTCATACTGTAGAATATAATGTCCTAACTGGATTGTAGTCTAGTCAAGTATCTAATGATGACAAATTCTGACAATGGAAAAACAGTTGTGTGGCATTGCACTGTATGGCATTGATTGAGTTAGGGATGTTTGTACTGTAAGGGTTACATGCAGAAATAAAGTTGTATAGAGACAGACATGGCTTTAAAACAACAAATGTTTTAGCAGAACAGAGTAACTAAACAGAATCACAGCATAATAAAACTACRAGAATTGTAAAGGTTTTAATTTCAGTATGAAATTTGTAAATCAAAATTTTAAGTCAAATTCATTGCACAAAGCAACCACTCCTGGAAACTACATAGTGACACAGCCAAAATAGGCTAGCAAGTCAGGTAAGAAAACAGCAAAGGTTGAGGTTCATGCTGCTGAGAACCCACATTTCTCAGTATACTTGTATAGCAGCCAACAGGAGGTGTAGCATGCCAAGCAAATGTAAGCCTAGCAAATTCTTGAACCATACTGAATATTTATTTCAATAATTAAATCTGTGTCAAAATAATAAGAATGAATATATATTACAGAAACAAAGCCTGCAGAAAACACACGTGTATATTCCAAGCTACGATCTCCGTGTCTAGATTTCTGCAGTGATCTTTCAGTACTGTGAAAGTACATATTAATCAAATGACWGTTTCGAAGGCTGCAATCTTCACCTTTAATAAGTAAAACAAGAGACAGATCCCTGAGCAGCTGAGGTGCTCACCAACACAACTTTATCGGACAGGAGAGCAAGTTCTAAAAAACAACTTCTGTCAATAATGGGCAGATCTTCAATAAAAAGCTAAAGGAAAGAGCAAAATGTCCTCACAATCATATCAAGAACGCTCAACATTGTCATACAACAGGTCATACTAGTTCCATCTCAGAAGTAGTTTGGCCAAATCTAACTGGTTCTGAATGTTCCCAAACCTCAGAAGCACTTGATTCACATATTCAGTTTGTTTAGGTCCTCCCATGYTTAAGATATAATTGACTCCTAACTGGGATACTCTGTCCAGCATAACAGAGTTCACTCCATGAAAATATTTAAGTATTCTTAATATTAATTGAGAAATAATTAACCAAAACTCAAAAACAGTAGACAATAAAAAGAGAAGATTAGCTTTTTGGAATTTGTTGTCCTGACGGATACCAAGAATATTACATCACAGCTCTTTTAATAACAACAAGGATAATTTTGAAAAGTTTAKCTACCATACATTGACATGCTGTTCCATTATAGAGCTATCTGGATGTAAAGACAATTCTTTAGCAAAAGACACCAAGTCTGATCTTTAGAAGAGGAAAGTTCAGTGTGTGGGCTCCACCAATACCCTTCCTGTGCAATAGGTAGGAGCATTCGTACACAGTTTCTGCTCTTCAATACATTAAGTAGAAGTTTTAATCACAAAATCGTAGAATAATTTCAGTTGGGAGAGATCTCAGTAGATCATCTAATCTAGTCCAGCTTCCTGATCTGCGCTTTTTTTTCAATCTTTCAAAATTGCAGTCTGCTACAATAGGAACTTTCTGTTACTTAGAATGAAGTCCCTCTGGAAGTTTCAACCTTACTTATTCCCCTAAAAAAAGATTCCTTTTCCAGACGCCCAGCAAATCAATTAGAGCAAAATGTGCCTGCAGTAACTTCCAGATCTCTACACTTTGGATGGAGTGAAATAAAATAAATAGAAGAACTATTTGTGACATTTGGAGGCAACACCAGTAGATAAGACCAGTCTCATGCTGACAAGAATGAGAAACTTTCGGCTATGTTTGGCACACTGCCTATATAAAAGTTGAAATCTACTTCGCAAGACAATGTTTGCTGAAAATTGTTCAAAAGAAGGAATATGTGCAGAAAAATACCCATTTTATCTCTCATCATAAAGTTTTTTTGGTTAACAGCTAATTATCTAACTCTACTTGCAGATTATTACAGCTAATTATCTAACTCTGACTTTTTCCCCTGATACAGTAACAATTCCTTTTAGGATTTTTTCATACCAAGAATATTCAATTAACTGAAGTGAAGACCTAAGGTGAAATACTAGACAGTAATTTACCCAGTAGCTCTACCACCTACTCATAAAATGATTCATTTACACACACCAATTTAGGATGACCGGCTGGTTTTTATTATTTTATTATTTCATTATTTGAGTCCATATCTTGCAGATATCATGTTCTTGCAGACATCAAATAAGTAGCTATTACTCCAGTCTCCAAATGAGAAAGGAAGACACCATATCCAGGAAAGAGACCCTTTTATAACAGACTATGGGACTAAGTTGTCAAACAGAATGCATGTAGAAACAGGATCAACTCATCCCTGCTTATATCCTTATTCCACAAGTGTTTAGCATCTCAAGGCTGTCACAGGTGGAGAACCTGAGCAAGAACCTTCTCATGGACCTGATTCAAGAGAATGGAAGTCTACAACACTTGTCACAGAAAGTGACATCATGGAGATGACAGACCAAGAAACAAATCCTTATGGTTTGGTATGGAATCTATATTCTTTAATGGTACCTTAGCATTCATCAAAACTGAGGAATACTGCAGCGATACAGAATGTTATAACATTCAGCTACCCTACACTTAATCATCTCATTTGTTGCAACAGAACTTGTAGCCAGAAAAAAAAAAAAAAGGTAAAAAAGAAAAAGAAAAAAAAGGAAAGGAAAAACCCACTAATTTCACTAAGTTTTCTGTTTGGCATTAAACATCCTTTCAATTATTTTGTTCATTTTGGGCTTCTAACCATATTCTGCTAATTCTTACTTGTTTTTAGACATCCTTCTGAAAGCTGCTTTACAGTTTGGCATGGAACTCTACATAAAATGTCAATATTGACATTGAGGGKTTTTTTTTTTTGCATTTTGCTATGGTTGACAAAACAAAACACAAGCCTTTTTGACTTTAATACAAAAACAGATTAAGTCTACAATACATCAAAGACCTAACTAGCTAAATAGCAAGTTTCAGTAGATTTCTTTTGTAAGAAAGTCTATTAACCTACATTACAACAGATAACAATTTAGTAAATAAAATGAAACAGCATTTCTGCAGTATAAATGGTTATTTGCTGGAATGTATGTGTCTGATGTCGCTCAAACTTTTTATCTTAAAATATGCTACCGTTTATCAACTTTTTGAAACGTAAATGCTATCACAGCATTTAATACACAGTATACTTTTTGAGATTATTATATTTGAACTAGAAAAGAAAGCTATTGTATTGATTTATGTTAGAAATAAAGTTGAGATTTTTCACTGCTAACTCAAAACATACTACCTGAGGGATTCCATAACAGTTCATAAAATGTCTTTGTTTTTAAAAGGTATGGTCTGTGGTATATATTTTCTCTTAAGAAACAGAAGAACACATGTAGCATCACATGTGTGCACTTTAAGAAGCCCTGGAATGTGAAATCTAAAAATCCAAATAAAGCAGGTGGTATAATTTCGGGGGAAAAATGAATTTAAGTTTAATGACATTACCAGGTTATTCTACCAGACTAATTCTCACTCGCTGCATGACTTCAATGGAGCCCTCGGTCCTCATGCTGATTTCGATTTAGTTCAAGTGCTATTTGATGCAATTCATCTGGAGTTTTATTCACTTCAGACTACACTTCATTTAACCAGACTGCTGCTGTACTCATTTGTTTTTCTACTTTATTACCCGCAAATTGGTGTTGCTTAGTTTAGATAAATTGTTGGAATGAATTAACTTTATATAATTATTTTCATACTGCTAATAAACAAACTCTAGAAATACATAGTATCATAGAAAAAGAGTGACCACTAATGTTCTTTTAAGATAAATTCAAGCACAATAAGTATTTGTATTGCAGGAACTGCTAGTATATGTTAACAGATGATTTGCCATCCTAAGGCAGTTCCATTTTATTCCCCTAGAACTACTGCTCAGAGAGAGAAAGAGACGACTGCTAACAAGGATCACAGGGAATAACATTATGTAAAATACATGGGAATGTGGGAAGAGACTGCCAATCCTACCAGACTACTTGCTGATTATATGTTATTCAGAAAACATTTATTATATTTTAGCAAAAGGCCATGACAGAACCGTAATTCATTTGAAGTGGTTATTACTTTTGTGAACTATTGATGGAAAATACGAGAAAGTCAATTAAGCTGCTACCACCTGGTGGTGTGCTGATTATCTTAAAAAAAACTTTTACRATTAATATGGTATCGTAACTTGAATGAGAAAATAACATTATGTTCTCTGTCTACTACTACAAACATTTTATTCCTTTTTTATATATGGATAATCCATTATACATCCAAAACAAATCTCTTTTTCAGTCTAAGTATACAGCACATAATGCATGAATAGGAATTGTTTAACACATTAACCTGTTTACCTGTTATCTTATTATTTTAAATATGAATCTTCATGAGAATTAGGCCTCATTTCAAATGTTTTTATTTGGATGAACTTGAAAGAGAGTTCAGTTCAACACATTAACCTCAATATAAAACTTCAGCTCAAAGAAGCATGGAAATTGGTTCTCAGGAATTCAAAAAGTGTGTGCATCATCTCAACCCCAAATCTGTCAAATCTGTCTAAAATGATGATTCCTAAACCCTTACAAAGAGGGTTTTTAAAGGTAACAGACTTAACAGTAAAATATGTGGTACAACAGAAAATATAGGGGTAGGGTTCTTAGCATACCCTAAGCCACTCATGCTTAACACTCACCAATATTTGGGAAACTTGATCACTTTGCCATAAACAGCAGTACTGAAAGAGGGAATAACTGGAGCAGGGAAGAAGTATAACCCTCTATTGTCCAAAGAGGTCAGTCCTGCTTGAAAACCGAACATCTGAAAAAATACAGTTGGTCAAAGTATAAATTAGCACACAATACAATCATTTTCAAGTTATTTTTCAAGCATACAAATGAACTATCTTAAAATAGATTAAATAAATACAAAATAAATCATGCATCACTTGTAAAGAAATTTCCCCCAAATCTACATATAACTAGAAAATTCTGCCAGTAACAAAATGGTGTTCCAATAAGAATGTATATATTTTCTTCACTCAAAAAATGTCATAATTATTAAAAAAAATATGCAAATTAATCCACCAAGTAACTTTTCTATCCTTCTTTACATCTTTAGTCTTTAGCATTTTTAATCTTTAACTGCAAAAAAAATTATTTTATATGAAAGGTAATGTGTAAATTTTTTTTTTTGGAACTGCAACATTTCCCTAAAAAGTAATATTTAAGGAGGAGATTTCTTTTGAAGCTTTTTCTTTAATAAAATGAGAAAATCTAAAGAGAAGTTCATCAAAATTTTTCTCGACAATTTTTTCATAGTTCAATCTTTTTAATGTTCTACCACATAAAAATACAACACTTATGCTTAAACCATAATTAGCAAAAAAAAATCTGACCCAATAAATATCAAGGTTTTTTCATTTTAAAATGCCGATAGTTGCTAAAACCTTTCAGAGTAAAAGATTATCTTCAACATTACAAAAAAAAGACAAAAAAAAGGTTAAAAAAAAAAAAAGACTAAACAGCTGACTTGTGACATTGCTATCCCAAACACTTTAAATGTGAACACATTTTCCCTAAAACTTGCCATGTAATTCTGGAACAATATTTGTGTTTTATGCAGATGGTAAGAATTTCATTACTTAGATTTTTGTTATGATAGAAGCATACTAGTGAATGGAAAATTGGAAAGTTTACTTTTTTACTACTGAAATCTTAGCAGATGGCAACTGAACAGTCTCAAAATGATTTTTCAATAGCATCTTAAACTCCCTCCAAACTAGCAATATAAATTCCTTTCCTAATAGATTTTAAATTGAGAAAATCTAAAGGTTTTTCCTCCTGAAATGAAAATATCTGAAATGCTTTAGCAAGTCTTTGATTGTATTCTTCATAGTAATTGATTTACTCTATCAATACTATTAAAATTTACRTATTTTCCTCACAGAATCCTACCACATTTCTAAGCATAACTCATTGTAATCCATGTATTCCATAATGTATTCCATGTACATGACATGGTACCATATGTCCATTCCATATGTATTCCGTAACATAAAAGAATTGGAAAGATTTCCTTCCAAATTATTTCAACACAGTTTTGCCATGACAACACTGGAGCTTCAGTCTGTGTTATTTCCTCATGTGAGGGTCTCTGTTCATATTAGAAACCACATGGCTCAGGTAAGAGGTACTAATACAAAATCATATTTATTCTATGAAATTTATTTAACTGTGTCCTTAAGCTAGTTTGAAAATACCCACAAGAGAGCTAATAATAAAAATTTGTACTGCAGTGAAAAATAAGTTCCTTTTTTTTTTTTTTTTTTTTTTTACCTTCAGATAGCAGTGTGAATAGCAGTAATGCAGCAGGTTATCAGATGGCTGGCTAAGGCTGCTGACCATCTGCACAAGTTGCTCGGCATACATCGGCACAGAATGCTCCAGGTTAATCTTATCCACCAATATTCTGATGGAAGGCAAAGGCCGCACGGGCTGGAAGCTTGTAGCATTTAACAGTCCCCCTGAATTCTAGGTAAGGGAGGGAAAAATAAGAAAGAAAGAAAAAAAACCCACATCATTATTACACTACGGATCTATTATCTGCAACATATACATACACACAAATGCAAATCTTGTAATGATCTACTAACAGATTACAATAGCCATATATTCCAAATAATGCTCAAGCTCTTTGAAAACCATCTGTGTGTATATTCTGTATATACCCTTAGAAATAAAATATTACTTCATAAAATCTTCATCTAGACTATGCAAATTGAAATATTTCATTATTTATTTAGCATAGAGCTGCTGCTGCAGGACAGGTTGAGGCTCAGGAGGTAACCGTTATGCCTGGAGATTGTTRCTCGTTATGCCCAGAGATGCTACTCTGCAAGCATACGGAGAGGTTGGTCAGATCAGCTGTGGAATCTGTATCCTTGGAGATCCTCCACACTCAACTGGACACTGTCCTGAGCAACCTGTTCAAACTGGGCTCCCTTGRAACAGGCAGTTGGACTAGATGTTCTCCAGAGACTCCTTGCAACTCAAACTGTTCTATGATTCTAAAACTTTCATTAATCATACACAAAAATAATAAAGAAGAACGATGCATATACTATGATAAGTCTAAAAGATGAAGTTACTAGTATTTTAAATATGCTTGGCTTCACTTAAATACCATGTTTAATGAAAGTTGTAGAATCACAGAATAACTGAGGTTTGAAGGGATCTTTGGAGAACACCTAGTACAAACTTCTACTCAAAGCAAGACCAATTTGAAGTGTGGTATTTCAGGTGAAAAAGTAGTACTAAAAARGTCATTTAAATTTAATCCTACAAGAGGTTTAGGGCTGTCTACCCATTATACGRACACCAGCTGCCCAAGGAGAGAAAGATCACAGATTACAACTTTCAAAGAGACTACAAATATTGTCCCTACCTTGACTGCAAGGACAGGGAGTGGATGTAACCCACTTTCCTAYACAGTCTAAACTGTCTTCGTTGAGAATTTAACCTAAATTCATAGAGGTAAAGAACTATTCTGTCTACCTGACTACTGATACAGAATATGACTTGCATGCATATATTTTTTCCAATACAAAAGAATTTCTATAACAGTGCAGAGAAACAGCTTCCATGAKGCTACAGAGTATGGCCACTGTGCTGTGGTATCTAGCCCCAGAGTTCATGTTTATAAGCCCCCTCAGGTCAGCATTGAGCTTKAGGCACGACTCAACTAAACGTGGCAAGTTGCTGAACGCTGAACAGTAAAGTTTTTACGGCACATTCATCTGTAAAAGTCAATCACCATGTCATCAATTTAACATGTGAAAAAAGATGACAAGTTAACACTGCTCTGAATCTTGCTAGTTATTTTTAATGCACATATTTATACAGAATACCCAGAACTGTTCTCAGACACCACAAAGTATTGGTCAAAATAGCTTTTACTAAAGAAAACATAAGAAGGAGGAAGAGGATAACAAATACAACCTTATATCCCTTGAGATGATAGAAACCTCTGGCTGTGCAGYACTAATCAAATCTCTTGTCAGGGCATAGCACACTGCACAGATCCTACCTGTGCTGATCTTCATCCACTGCTGCAATTCAGGATTTCCAGCTGAAATCCTGAATATCTGAATATCTGAAGGAATATATCTATATATCTGAAGGAATATATGAAGGAATATATCTATAATCTAAGATTATGTACACTCTTCCCTTTTCCTCCCCAGGTTATGTCCTGTAAAATGTCAATACGTTGTGGAGTCTGAACGCATTACTGGGCTCCYCTTCTTACTGGGACCTACAACGAACACTTATACTGATAAAAAACATGATTTTACCACCTTGAGTTCAAAACACCTAAATGACTGATCACAAGTGTATCAAAAACTCAACTAAAAACTTGACATTTAAAGTTCATGTGTTTTATGAACCTGCTGGCTGTTTGGGGAAAAGAAGTGGATTGTTGATACAACTTTTTACACTTCACAGCCTTCACATGAGGCTTACTTCATTCCAAAACCAAAGTTTGACCATGTTTTATTTTTGCTATGGTAAATGACACTTCAAGTTTTAAGAAGCCTGCCTAGTCACTGCACACACCACATAGGTATCTAAAAGGAAGGCTCACAAGCAGCCAACTTATTTGGAAGGCAGTAGGGTGACTGGCACATGGAATAGCAGCCCAGAAGGTAAACTTCTCTTTCATACCGGGATAGGAACTGCTTCAATTACCAATATTTCATATAGAGACATTTAGGCATAAAAAGATGCAGCTACCCTTATGTTAAGATGCACGTTTGACTTTTCAATTTTATATATTTTAACCTAATTATTTAAACTAAATAGCACATGCTCATGTAAAGACTTGAATAAATAACTGCATATGCCTACCTTCCCACCCATGATTATGGGCAACAAGTGGTCCAGTAAATTGAATTCTGCCACAGGGATTGTAATTGTACACTTAAGAATAGTGAATGTTGTAAGTCGAGTGGGGATGTATTCTTCCAGTGATGCTACTTCTTCTGAGCTCGGCATAGTTCTATTTCCATCTGTAACATCTGAAACAAATCAAGATTATGTAATGGGAAAAGTGGGAAAATATAAATATTTCCTACAGTGGCTGTTTGATAAATGCTTTAGAGATTAGCAAAGACAGAAAAGGGTTTTTTTCATTTCTCCGTATTTATTAATTTTATTCCTTCCACGCTTATTCCACCTAAGCCTAAATGCAATCCTTACTGGAGTACTTTCATAACTTTGAGATTCACATTTTAGTAATGAGAAATCTATACAGTTCACTGTAAGTTTTATGGAAGAAACTGATCTTAACAGTTCTCCCATAGCTTGTTTCCAATCATCTCCTTCTGCCTCCTCACTTAACTATTATTTCAAACTAATTAATGCAGGGATTATTCCTTTTTTAAGACTCCAAAGACAAGATAGAAGTGTCAATAAAATAAACACTCCCCTTGACAGGAGGATTGAAAATTATGGCTTTCAAATTGCCTGACACTGATGGAGATACTTTTACCTTCATTTTATTGTTTTTTATTTGGCCTAAAACAATAAAAAGCAGGGATATTTAAAACTGCAATAATTAAGAGTTTAACTCCTTCAGGAGCACTGAAATTGGTCTGATTTATTTCTGTATGTTTGTGTATATGCAGTAGTAGCAAACCTGGCTTAGTTCTCCTGTATGGCTCATATTCATGTTCCAGAGCACAAACGATCATTTTCATTATGCGGTGCACGGCACTGCTATCCAACCGAAGATTGAGGGGACCAACAATGAGGTTCTTCGTAGACATCTCCTGCACATGTCCAAAATCTTCACTCTTGACTGAAGGAAGGTCTTGCTGATTCCCAGGAACTAGAAGTTTTACAGATAACAYATATCAAACAACTGGATATAGAAGTTTAACCTTTGCCAACTACTTTTGCTTCAAATACTGTAATCCTAGACTTACCATAAATGTACAGGAGCTATAAAAATACAACTTCAACACATGAATACAATGCAGATGGTTTAACAGGTATTTTAGAAAATACTACTCCTGTACATTACAAAAATACTATTACTATGTACAATGAACAGCAAACAGCAAAATTCTGCTTTTCCACCAAATGCCATACAAATCAATCAATTATTAAGAATCCTTCTATTATCCTTCTCTCTCTTAATTTTGCAACGCTCCGAAGGTCCAAACAACCTCAAAACTTTTGTGGGTCCCTTTATCCCAGGTGCCAATGACAAGTATGACTACTCTAAACTGACTTCATGGAAAGATTCTTGAATTAAATGCTATGTTGGAAAGTCATAAATAGGTTTTGTTGCTACACACAACTTACAAAAATATTTACTCCATAAAGTTTCAGTCAGGCCTCTGATTTTTTTCAAAGGCTCATTACTTGCAAAATGTCTTTACAGTTTTGATATAAGAACTGTAGATTAAGCGTGCAGTTAACTATTCAAAGAAGTCTCACAAAAAAATCAAGACTAAATGGATTCTCAGACGATTTAACATACAAAAAGAAGAGAGAATTCAGAGACAAAATTGAAAAATAAAATTTTAGTCAGTCACTGAATCTGGATAAATCACACTCCTTAGCTAGTAAAATACTTCATAATCCACCTGGTCAAATCTGTGACAAACAGAAAATAGAAAACCCACCATGTAATTAAACTTAGTGTTTCACCTCAGTGTCTATTGTTCATTTCCAGGATTGTCTCATTGATACATTCTCCTTGGATTTTTATGATAAAGTCATTCTGCAGGAAACAAAGGCTATCTTAATGGCAGACTGATTTTTCCTGTTGAATCCTCCATACCAGTAACAGTGACTTTCAAGTGACTGCCAAGCCATTAACCCTTTCTTATCCAACAAGGAATTTGCACCTTCTCCCAATGCAAGCTTGTTTCCATCCCTCCTCTTCCTACCCACCTCTCAGACTCTAATTTTTCCTGCAGAACTAGCAACTTCTTGACTCTCTGTTACAGTAAGAAACAACACACATTGGTAGAGAAGTACTGTCCAAAACCATGGGAAAATCTGGTCATTCCAAATTCTAGTTATATTCTCATCCTCATGGATGTAATCYGCCTGTACCCGTGTATTTCAAAGAAATGGCAGGAGAAGATGAGCAGTGGAAGCAGGCAGCTGACACTTTCTCAAAGAGCTAGAGCATCTGTTCAGCTCTGGGGAGCTGAGGTTTTGTGGTGAAGCCAGCCTGGCACGATGTGCAGCTTCACAGCTTCAAGGCAAATCTTACCCTAAGCCAACTGGAAAAATGCATGTTTTCTTTCTGGTTACCCGGCAGGAACCTAGGCCTTTTTCCATGATTCATGGGAACACTCCCTTTTCACTCTCTCCTTTACTACACTCACTCCAAACAGTCTTATTAATGGGAAGAAGGGAGGATGTTTTCTTCCCTCCTCTATAAATCACTCCGTAAAATGTTCTTCCTTGTAAGCTCTGGCGAGGGGAATGGTGGTTCACTCAGATTTGAGATCGAGCTGTCCTTATGCCCCGCAGGCCTCTCCAAGCCTATAGGTTCAGCAGGTTTGTCCCTCAGAGCCTAAGCAAAGCTGATAGCAGAGCTTTTATAGCCTCTGCTTCCCCTTGTTCCTCTGTTTACCACTTCTGAAAGAAAAAAAGGCACAAAAAGATAACCTTATAAACCCTCTTCTAATCTTCTCCACAAGATTCTTCACTTCTGAAGGCAAAATGCCTTAGAGGCAACAAAAAGCAACCCCTGAAATTRTTGGAACTTTGTTATAAATCACGAAAAGGAATTATATGAATAAATATATATATAGCSCGCTGTCAGAGTATGCTTTATTTAATACGAGTTTAACAGATATTTTTGTCAGGACTCTCTCCAAAAGTCTTCAAAGTAGTTAGGGCCTACGTTTTCAAAACGGACAGAATATATCCACTTGTGTGCACTTTATATATATACAGTAAATACACTGAGGTGGCAGAACTTACACACTTTCTGGGATAATTAGGTTTAATTATCCATATTTAAGTGTAAAAATAATGCAAGTAGCAATTCTATAGGTTAGGCAAAAGTAAGGATTCACAGGTTAATTTTGAAAGTTTGCAGATATAGAAGGGAAAAATCAGATTACTGATCCCAGAGTATTTAGCCCTCGGTAAAACCTATGCCCAAGTCTAACTGACAAAAACCTTAAGATGGGAGTATACAAACAGAATATAAAACATCAAAATCATACTGTATTAAATCTGCAGGTCATGTACATCTCCACAGGGATCAGAGATGTTTCCAAGAAATTGCTGTTGTGCATGCGAACAGGTGGTATAAAATAGCAAAACAGAAGGTGAAAAGAAGGATAGAAAGAATTTCAAAATTAAACCACTGGGTAAGACTCACTATCTTGTTTTTAATCAAAATACTAAAACTGATTAGTGCACTTACACAAGTGACAGGTGAAACTCCTGAGGTTAATACAATCCAGGAGGCCTCCGTGGTTTAATCAGTAATTGAATGCTCCGAGAAAGGTTAAAGGGGTGAGGAAGGTGACAAACTAAAATTGCTTTGACAGATAAAAATCTTACAATCACAGCAACTGCCTCCTGTAATTTAGGTTGTATTRGGCTTTTAGGGGAAGGCAGTATGCTCTAGTTGTAACTAATAATATGATTAACAAGGCCAAAATGGSAAAGAGTAAAATGTTCACTTTTTACATAAATACATTTCCTAACAGTACCACACATTTAAACTGCAACAAAATTAAATATTTCAAGGTTTTGAAATCAATGTAAAGCCTTGATTTTTAACTTAAATAGTTTACATCGTGACTTTCAGTATGGAAAAATTAGCTAGAAAACAACTAGCAGAAAATGTCAGAGTTGCTTTCTTAAGGACAAAATTAATTGGAAATTTAAAGTTCAAAATTCCTGAGTCATTGTTGAGACTGAACAAAATTAATTAGATGATCTATTCCTTTATGTATTCAGGCAGCTGGAAATAGAGGAGTAATATTGAAATGGAAGCACACAGCAAGGCCTGATAGGAAGCTAACCATTTTGAGGTGTTTTCCTCCTGAAAAAGCAAATAAAAGCCAAGAACCTGGCAAACAAACTAACAAACTGAATTAAATAGTAGAGAAGCTGAGGAAAAAAAAACTATAAAAACACTAGCATGGCTGTGAGCTAAAAAGGGTGTTTCTGAGTTGTACACTCTCCAACAACGGTTCATTGCAGTCAGGAAAAGATATCTTGTTCAATTCCTGTATGTTCAGAAAAGCAAGGCAAGGAAATCCACAAGATCAGCTTCTCATAATCAAATAACCTGTGCATATTCGAACTTCCATAGCAAAAATCAAAAAAGGAGATAAAACATATCCACCCTACCTAAAAGTTGTTGGAGTTAGTGAACCTTTATTTCTTTATTAAAAACAGAAATAAACTGCAGTAGAAGCTTGACCTATTGCACATTTTCTCAATTAGATGCACAACAAAGCTAACGATATGGTGCACAGACTGCAAAGCCTTAGGAGTAGGAAAGAATTGTTCAATTATCTGCTCTAACCCTCAACTACCTAGTGCAATGGCATAGCGTCTGTATGTGTGGGTACATACATCCACATACTATTTTCTATATTTACCTATATGAATATATAGGTAATATATTTGTTTCTATAATGAAGCAAATGGATCGGACTAAATGGCAAGCTAAATAAAGCTATATGTAAACACTCAGCTGGGTAACTCTGAGGCACAGCCTTCTCAACCTTGCTTTTTTATATAGGAGAAAATATCATGGTTCTTTTTCAGCTTCTCTATCAGACAGAAGATCAACATATTTAATAAATTTTTCCTAGGTCATTAGTAATTACTTTTCTACTTAAAAGTCTTTGTTGTTGTTGTTATTCTTAATGAAATTTGCACTGCTACAAGAGAATTATTTTCACTTTACTCATGGCGTATAAGAGATATTATCTTAATTGCTTAGGCAGAAAACAAGGTAACAATCAAAAACAGGCAGAACAATTAACCTCCAATGTATCAATGCAGAATAAACCATTTTAACTATGAATCTGAAGGCAAATCTAAGGTAAGGTGGAGGACATATGGTCAAAGACCAACTGGGCCTGCAAAGTCTTTGTTTCTATTATTTAACAGGGTAAACAAAGAAGAAAGGTACCTTTGCCACCGGTGCTTTCCATTGTGTACAAGTAATCCATGTAGAAAGCCCCAAATCTTTGCATTCCAGCTATCTCTGTGTACGTCTCCTACCAACAAAGCAAAGCAAACACCGAAAATGTTGTATAAGGAAAGGATCTTGAGATTACCAACTGATAGGCTCCTATGAGGGAGATATATTTTTGTTTGGGTTTGTGCATCAACACACGGAAAGGCTTATCAAAACAAAGGACAGAGGTTATCCCAAAGAATTCACCTTTGTGATAGGTAATGTAACTTCTACTTGGGGCCACACAAAGGCACGTCCATAACTCTACTGGACACTCTGAACAATTCATCAATAGCATCTAGTTACTTAGTACCTTTAATGGACTAAATATTCTTCACTTGACCTCCTGCATCCTACAGAACTGCCTAATTAAATACACTCAAAACTGAAGCTCATTCTTTAAAAGAAATTTTTTAAAGAAGTCTTTAGAAGAAAATTGTGTTTTTATCTTTGAACAGCAGAAAACACAACTTTATGCCATCACCAGGATACATACGTAATATTCCCACTTGCTACACAGCAAGTTTGTTCCCCTCACCCCAAAAGGCAGTCAAGTCCTAAAACCGTAGAAGACAAGTTAAGGAAAGAGTAAAACTTAACAAAAACAAATAACTGGAAATGCTTAAACATGTTGAAATGCTTGTGATTTCATTTATTTCACTTTATTATGAAGTCTTCATGTTAACACTTCTCAATCACTATTACTAAAATTGTGAAAACAGTRAAGTTTAAATTTGAGCAAAATTACATTTATTCAAAATTGCAGGCAATCAGGAAAAATAGGTTTGCTCCAAAATTGACAACAAGGCAGAATGCTTGAGATTGGAAATGTTTTTATTATTTTATGTAGTCAGCCTCAGTAAAGGCAGAGTTAGCAAGACTTCCCCTAAGTAGACATATACAGTGTCCAGGGACCACAAAATCTACGTTTCTCCAGATTCAGTTTCCAAAAGAGCACTTCTCAGTTTGAACTCTACTTATTAGCTCTGGTTAAAGAAGTATGTGCTCGTAAGCTTGACCTTTGCTAGCATTCTGTCACAACTCAGTTTCTCTTTGAAGAGGTTTGTAGTTAGGGATTTTGGATCTCAAACCATTAATTTACTTCTCAAGGAGAGAAGAGTGGTTGTTTCACTGGCATTTTTTGTTTGTTTGTTTCTGAGTTTTCTTTGGGACTCATTTTTGGTTTGTTTTAAACACAAACAGGTTTACCATCTTTTTGGCCATCTGCAAAATAAGATATTAGGAAAATCAGCCCTTCAAACAGCCAGCAAATCTAAAAAATTCTGTTATACAGCCATTAGAAACCATTAGAATTTTTTATATGAAAAATATAATTCTCTGACCTTATGATGAGCTGCATCCAATATAAATTCTGCACGAATACTATTATTTTCTGGACTTCTGTAGTCAAATAGTGAATTGGTAAGGTAAGTCATGCCTTTTGCACTCAAATTTTCTCCACAATTAAAGAAGTAGGCCTCCTTCATAGTGTAAAAAAGATATATATTATAATACAGCCAAGGAAAAAATAAAGTCATATTAACAGAGCAATTTCAATTCTATCATAACACACTAATGACATGGTAGTTTCCCTTCAGAGGAAGAGGGTACACTTCAATATCAATCAAAATTTCCATTCTAAAGGTGGATAAATGATCAAAATATTTAAAATCATTTTATTTAAATAAAGCTGAACTTTCTCTTCACTCCCTCCCCATTTTCAAGTTGTTAAAACCAGACTCAGCTAATGAATTTTACTGAACAGCTCACGATAGAGAATGCCACTAGTTTTATGTTAACAGGAAATAGCTTCCCATATTGATCCCATCATCAGGAATTGATCACCACCAAAAGGTTGCAGGACAGTAACAGCAAGTTAATCTAGAAAGGCAACTCAGGCTCCTTTCAAAATCTTATACACGTACTCATAGAAAGAGTTAGCCCAGTCTAGGACGTTGCTTAGGGCTTTGTCCAGCAAGATTCTTGGTATCTCCAAAAACAGGAATTCCACAAAATYCCGGGGCAGTTTTTCCATTCCTAGTGTTATACCTCCCTGGGAGTGAAAAACGTTCATTTCCCAATTTCTAATCAGAATTTGCCTTGTTGTAAGCACATATACTATTTTATATATATAAGAAATATCAAATCTAAGCATTTTCTAACTCATTTTTCACAGGGGAGTTACAAGAGTCTCTCCCATCATGTCTATCATAGTATAGCATATGACTGTTTCTCAGAAAATAAGATAATTGAATTTAATCTAGTCACTTCTCACATTCTTTCTTGTTCTTAGTTTTCCCCCTTGCAATACTTCATAATAATTCAAATAAACAGGTTTGCATTTGTCTGCATTATATACTTTTATGTAAGAACAAGTAATAATTACTATTCTACAATACTATATGGCATCATATAATGCAATTTAAAATCCACTACTTATTTAGATGGATTGGATGGATGGATTTAGAATGTCATGAAATCTGTTCTTTGACTATTTTAAGGACAGTTCATATGAGTAATTGATTTTGTCTTACTGAGCAAATTAAGTTTTGTTTCTATTTGGCATATAGAAATGAATATTGTCTCAATGCATTTCACTTCCTAGCATTCTCATCAACATAACCAAAAAAATAAGACATTAGAAAGGCATTCAATATTTCAGCTACCCTATATTACTGTTTGTGTAGAGTGTCCCCTCTTTTTTCCTTCTGGTCTTCTGTATATTCATCTTTTTTATGTTGATATTAATAATTTATAAAATTTTATTTTTCTGTACAAGAGAAATGTATGTAAATACATTTACAATGGCAGGGAATGTATAAATAAATGCCTTATGCTTTGTACTTTTTCATTCTTGCCATCTTTCCAACTGTAAG